GTTGAGGACTAAGTACCAGCTCTGGTAGAAATACATATTGATCGGGTGGATGATTGACCTAAATTGAATGACCCATTAGAGACTGCATTCATAGTGCTGGCTTTGTTATTTGCAATGATCGTGGGGGTTCTAGTGCACGAAGTGGAAGCCACCAGGAAAGTGTGCAATGACTACTGGAATACAAGGTTACAACTTATGAACTCTTGGATCCATTTCTATAAATATTGTAAATCCAAGACCAAGAGTAACAGTATGCTCTATTAAGCTGCCGGTGAGATTCAAAATGCAGCAGGACAGCTAATTTATGGTTTTCTACCCTGCTGAGCTTCTTAAGTCAGTAGACAAGGACAAATCCTAGTTGGCAAAAAGGCATTTTCTACACCCCCTGCTTGTGTAAAGACAAGGCAGACGAATAATCCTTTAATTTTTTTAATGTGAAGCTCAACTCTACGGTAAATGAAAGGGAAAAAACGATATTAACATGGGACTATTGCGATTGCGATCATTATAGAAAGTGTCATTGGTTAAAACATATGCATTGAGTCTTTCAGCTAATTCACAACATTTGCAGGGTGGTGGAGAAAGTCTTAATCAGCTTTGTGAACGCTGTACATCAGGCTTACAAAGGATCGCAAAGAAACACCTAGGTATTGGTTGTTTTAGACTCACTTGGACATGGAAAATTGCTTATAAGCTATACCAACGTTCATTTTTAATGCAGGCGAGCGAGTAGTTGTAGTCACTCATGGTGGTACCATCAGAGCACTTCATAGACGGGCTTCTTCACATGGGCAGTCTGTTGGGAAGGTTCTAAATACTTCTGTCAATGTTTTTCACTTGTCTGCTGAAGATGAATGGAGCATTAAATCCTGGGGTGATGTGAGTCATCTCAAACGGACTGGATTTCTGGAGTCGGGTTTTGGTGGGGACAGCACATCCGGTTAGCTCTTAAATGACTCACTTTGACATTGCATTCTTTGAGACCATTCTCAGAACACACTATTTGAAGAAACTAAAACATTATATTGTTTGCAATTAATGATTTGTAAAGATGCTTTGAAACTCTTAATTGCATTGTAACAGTTAAAATAAAAATCGTAAAAGTGACAAAATATTGTCTAAAACAAAATTTGTCGGTTTAATTATCAATTACCGTACAGAGACATAATTATCAATTACCTTACAGAGACAACAAAACAATGGTTGACCGTTGCAGTTGATGTTTAATTGATGCTGCGGCTAGACGTAATTAGGGTAGCAGTCGCGTACTATCATGGGCCTTTCATTCACTTTACAACTATCATGGTAGTTATCACTTGTCAAAGATGTTGACAACTTTCATATATTTCATCTTTGTTTATTTATGGTTATTATTTTGGGTTAAATTTGCCTTCAATGTATTTTGCAGTGGAGACTGGAGATTGCTTTTTTTAACTTTATTATGCCTGAAAAGTCAATATGGGTATTAAAATTACTTAGGATTCATTTTATAGGACTTTTATTTTTTGTAGAATAGCTTTCTAATGAATTATCTTATGTCAATTAAGCTCTTCTAACAAAGCACTTTAAAAATTACCAGTGCTCAAAAATAGCTTTTTAGGGCAACTTCAANTTTTTGCCCTTTTTTTTTTTTTTTTTTTTTTTTATCTTTTTTCAAAATGGTGCAAAGTGTATAAAGTCTGTTTTATCTCTTTTCAAATAAATTTATTAAGGGTTTTTATATCATTGGTGCTATATATTTTTAATACAATAAATTATTATTATTATTATTATTTTTTTTTTGCATTTAAAATAAATTTTAAATGTAAGAAATAATAATTAATAAATTAATTAAAAGAAGAAAAAATTTAAAATATAACAAACACGATTATTTATTAAAGTTAACATGAAATATATTAAACAATGATATGCATACGATAATCTAATTTTATTTAAATAAAACGATACATAAAAAAAAATTATTTAACGTAATTATTTCGTAATACAAAAAGAAATTAAATAATGATATACATAAAGAAATTATTTAATGTAATACATACAATTTTTTTTATTTATTAATTTATTTAATTTTTTCATAATTTAACGTAATTATTTATTTAGTAATTTATGTATTTATAAAATAATTAAGTAAGTAATATGTCAAATAAATAAATTATAAAGAATAAAAAAAGTGAAGAAAATAGTTAAACACTGTTCATTTGGTGTAACTTTTAGTGTAATGGTTGAAAATTAATTTTAGTTTGGTGTAAGATTTGGTTAAGATTTTGATATAGCACTGAAGATGGCCTTGGTCTGAGAAGTATTTTTTGACTTTTCAAAAAATTTGTCATATAGACCTAAAAAAATAAAAATAAATAAAAAATAAAAAATTACCAGTGCTAAAAAATAGCTTCTTAATCTCAGAAGTAATTTTTGACTTTTTAAAAGTTTTCTCCTACAGACTTCTAATATATCTAGTGTTGAAATTATCGCTAACCATCTTGTATATCTCCGCCTGTAGAATGCTTGTTCTCCAAGTGAACTTTTAGTACTATGTTATTAATTTGATAATTTTAGTAATGCATTATGAGGCATATTTAGATTAAAATAAAAAATAGCATATGCTTTTGACATGTAGGCCAAATGTTGTTTTCAGTCCTAAGTCATTAACTATATTAATTTGTCGTCAAACTCCAATTATTACTAAACTAAAAGTAGTAGTATTTTTTTAACAAATAAAAGGGGAGTCCATTTCACAACAGTTGGAATGTGTTAATCCCAAAATAGAAAAATCTAGAAAGAGAGAGGAATACCCATAGCATTGGACACATTACGGTCAACTTCAAATGTTTGTGGCATTAATGTCACGGACATGGCCTTGGCCCTTGCTGTAATTTTAGTTGGATGGTCCCCTTACGGCTGGAACGCTACTTACCCATTTTACTATAGATTCATAGAGTAACTTTGAGAATTACAATCAATTTTTCAATTCTGCAGAAAAATCTATCGTTGATGGACAATGTAGATTACTTTTAATGTAAACCGGCATGCTTTAAAGTATTTTTTGGACAAGTGGTAATAAACGAATAACGGTTGGTCGAAATATGACTAATATTTTCCTTAACAACAGATTTTTGAAATTTTATGTTACTAAATATCAGAATATTCAATCTTTTGAAAGGACACTAGGAAACAACTGAGACTTAAAAATGAAGTTGAAATTATTTTTATGCATTTTGGAGTATTTTGTACTGATGTGATTTTTAAACAAATTCGCGAGTTAATTGCTCCAATAGTCACTGAATTTATGTATATGTCTTCAATTGCTCGTTGAAGTTTAAATATCAAATTTTGGTCACTACATTTTGTAAAACGTTGGATGCTACTTACTTGTATAACATCCATTTAAAATCTTTAACGAAATTGGTGATGTGGTTGATAGCATGCACATGTAGCACTTCGTTACGTTGTTAAACTTTGAGATACTCAAACTTTGGTCACTCAACTTTGGAAAACGTCTTCAATTGCTTGCTAAATTTTAAAAAATATTTTTAATTACTCACTAAACTTTAAGGTGGTCAAATTTTGACCACTAAACTTTTAAGATGGTCTTCGATTGCTTACTAAATTTTGAAAAATTTCTTCTATTTCTTACTGAACTTATAAGTAGTTGAATTTTGATCGCTGAACTTTTAGATGGTCAAATTTTGACCGCTATACTTTGAAAAATATCTTCTATTGCACATAGTAAATTTGGATTTAATTAAAATTTGTTATTAAAATTGGATTGAAATTTGAATTTAATTTAATTCTAACAACAAATTTAGTCCATGTTTGGTAGAACATAAAATAATTTTTTTTTTATCAAACTCAAAGTCAATAATTAAATTTAACCACATGTTTTATGAAACCCACAACTTTTCAACCACACGTTTCATCAAATTTTATCAAAATCTGTTAAAAATTTTATTTTAATTCCCATCAAACAAGAGCTTGTTGTGTGTTTCGTTTTCGACTTTAAATATTAAAACTTGCATTTAATTTAATTTTAATAAGAAATTTATTGTATATTTCATTGCAAAATTCAAATATTATGATAGACAGCGCTTGCAATGCTATGCAAAGGATGTGACAATTAATTGCAACGAAATACATAATAAATTTATTATTAAAATTAAATTAAATATAAACTTTAATATTTGAATTTTACAACGAAATACGCAATAGTTAGAATTAAATTAAGCCCATGTTTGTCGCCTTTTAAAAATTTAAATTGTTTGTTATAGGAACATTTTTCATCACACATTTATACAATAAAATATTTTACACAAACCAATAAAATTTCTTTACTTTTTAATAATACATTCTCCAAAAAATACTATTCAAAACTATTTAATTTCTAAATAGTGGGTGACAAACAAGCTCTAAATTTTAATTTTAATTCAAAATTATTGTGAGGAATAGAAGGCGTTTTTCAAAGTTTAGTAGCAAAAATTCGATCATCTCAAAGTTTTGTGGTCAAAATTCGATAACATCAAAGTTTGGTAAGGAATAGAAGACATTTTCCAAAGTTTATTGAGTAATCAAAGATATTTTTCAAAGTTTAGTGACCACAATTCGACCATCTCAAAGTTTAGTGAGCAATTAAATACGTTTTTCAAAGTTTAGTCAACAGTCGAAGACGCTTTCCAAAGTTTATTGACAAAAATTCGACCGTCTCAAAGTTTAATGACGTAATAAGAGGTCAAATGTACATTCCGTCAACCACGTCACCAATTCCATTATAAATTTTAAACGGATGCTATACCAATGAGTACGTCCAAAATCTTTTGTCAAATGATATAGATTTTTTTCATAATCAAATTTTCTTAAATTTATCATATATGATATACCTAAAACAACTTCTAATTATTTGACAATCATAAATTGCTCAAAAAGCAGTAACAAATAGGCCTTAGAAATGTGTAAAACGTAGGAATTCCTATTTAAAAGGTGGTTGTTATTTTTTCTAAATAAGGAATAACAAATTCATTACCTATGACATTTATGTTTAGAAAATGACATAATTCATTCAATTGTACGCATAATAGACCACATTTACTATAGATAAGGTTCTAAGAATTCCAATTCAATCACTTCACGTATGAGTAGTAGAATTTGCCATTTGGTTAATCGTGTAACATGCTTGATATTTGTATCGTGTAACATGCTTGATGTTTGATACAAATTTTCAAATTTCGAGGTCATTTCCTCATTGAAATATGAGGTTTCTTCTCATCCAATTCTCTATACTTAAATTTATTTCAACTAAAATTATAAGGTCAACATCTAGTTTAATGTGGAATTAAAACAAAAACATGTACAATGCTAGACATTCATTGTGGACCTGATCATATTGACTTGACAGTACAATATTTACAATTACAAAATAGAAATTCGATTTTTTATGTTATAATCAACATTAAATTTGATTGATTCGTGTTCTGGTTAGGACGGGGACAAAATCTGATGGTTCCATCACGCTAATTCGGTAATTCTATAAAAAAATAATACTAAAAAAAGACGTATTTAATTATTCTAATGGTGATTTACCCTACGACGAATATCAATAACAAAATATGACATAACTTTCAAGATGGAAGTTATTCATTGATTTATTCTATAATTAGGAAAGATCAGCAATCAAAGTATAAAAGGAGAGTGATACGAGATTAGTAATGTCAAAATGGATTGAACTATATAAACTCGTAGTTGTTTTGATCGATCTTTTCTGATTGTCTGATACAATCTATTCGAATCTATACAATCTTGTAGATTTATAAATCCCACCCACCCCACCACCTCCCTTAGCATATAGACCAATGGGAAAGCAAGGCCACAAAAGAAAAATCTAGGCACATGTTGCTTCCAAGAAGTGCCTACGAACTAGGAAGAGAAAATGCACCAGTTTATTGCTTCCAAGACAAGGGAATTGTCTATTCTTCTTCCCCTTTTTTTGGTCAAATGTATTATTAACTCCCGTTTGCCCCTGCTTAATTTTAATTTTATTACATTTCATTTTCCTTTTTCATATTTTTAACTACACTATTTTTCATAAAATAATATTATATGTAAATCGAAAATTTTTCCTTCTTTTCCAACCACTCATCTTTCAAAAAAAAAAAAAAAAAAAAAACGTTATTCCACTCATTTTCATCTCCCCAAAATGGGGGCTAAACCTCAATTTTAAGATTGGGAAGTGATATGTGTACATAATTTTGTACATAAAATATTAAATAACTAAAGTAAGCACGTGGAGATTTGAATTCAAAAATTTATAATTTTTGAAATTAATGTCAGTAAAATATTAAATAAATTAGATTTCATCAATTAATCTAATATTATTTTCAATCAAAACCAATAAAAGAAAATTATATTTTGCTTAAATCTCAATATAAAAATCTTAACCATCAGCAAGCTATTAAATAAAAGAATTCAAATCAACACAATCTTCTAGCCACGTGGACTTCAAATGTACAGCCTGGACAACCTTATCGTACATTTATTTTTAATTAGGGCATTTTCAAGAATATCCAATTTTAAGGGTATGAGTTAAAAAGCGTCAACTCATTTGAATTTAGTGCCAACTTGTCTGTTATACGCTTAATGAAAAGTTACATTTTAAAATGGTATTCTCGACATTTATTTTTTTTTTTATTAATTTGTCACGAATTTTGAAAAGTGACTTCCATGAGAAGTTACATTAAAATAATGTTTCTCGACATTTCATATGTCATTCTCGACATTTGAACACCATTTCATTTGTTTAGAATGACATTTTATTTTGAACACGACATTTCTCTATATTTAAAAATATCGTTTTCGACATTTCTGAATCAGTGAAAAATATAGTATTTATTGTGATTTGACATATATACTTTTTGAAATAAATATGACAGATTATGTGTCAAAATTTTATTGACTAATAACAATATTGCAAAAATGTCCATTTTTTTGTCTTAGTGTGGAATTATAAATTGTTAATAAGGGTATTTTGGTTTAAATTCTTCCAAATTAGACATTTTTGCAATGGTGAACATTTCTACAAATGACTAGATAAAAATGGACATTTTGTGAAATTTCTTCTTTTTTTAATGATTCGTTCTCTTTATCTCTTTATTTTCTTTGACTAATTAATTTTATATCCAACGACATTTCTTCTGTTTTTATTTCAAAAACAACCTTTTTTTTCCCCAAGCATGTGAAGTTATTCATTATTAAGCCCCGTTTGGCCCCCATTATCTAGAGATGAAAATGGGTCGAATAATATATTTTTTTTAAAAAAATGAGTGTTTAAAAAAGAAAGAAAAATTTCGATTTACGTGTAATATTATTTTATAAAAGATTGTGTAGTTGAAAATTAGGAGAAAGAAAAATGAAACGTAATTTAATAAAATTTAATGGGGGCTAAACCTCATTTTCATTCCCCTCGTCCCTTCGTTTTCATTTCCCTTTGTTAAGAATCATAAATCTTAATTCTATCAAGAATAACCACTTTAAAGAAAGAAAGTAAACAGTCAAGACATGCAAAAATTTTAAGGTCCGTCTCAGTGTGAAACTACATCATCTTCTGCTATTGTAGTAATTCATTGTGATGAAAAAAATCATAATAAAAAATATCAATCATATATCATTTAACCTCTCTTTCTCTCTATTTGCTAGTAATACATAAAGTGTAAGGATGTTTCCCTGTTTATTAGATAAATTAGGGTAAAATCGAGTTTTATTAGGACTCCTATTCCTTCATATAATTTTACAAAAATACAAATTTTTAAACAATAATTTACTAAAATTTTGTTCAAGGGGCAGAGGGGGCTGCTTGCCCCGTTTCCAACTCCCATGATGATCTCTCCGCGATTAGCTCCTCCAAATAACAATAACTAGACTACACAACTTAACAACCTCGTACCTCCATTTTCCTTTGAAGTAGGGTTGAACAAAACTCCTGAACCGAAACGGACCCTAACCGAACCGAACCGAATCAAATCGAACAGTTCTTTTTAAGTTAAATACACAAACGAGTATTGGAATTAAGAATCGATGATTTTGATTTGATTCTCNCTAAGTTTTACTAAAATCTGTTATTATAATGTAGTGCCATTTCTATTGTTCTGGATAAATCGAATTAAAGCTCAATAACACTTCTCTTAATTATTGTAAGCTCGCTATCTTCTTTTTCCTATAATTTTAATAATTAAATCTACGAAGAACTCACCAAAGAGAGATGTAAAAGATACATAAGATTGAACCTATCATTAGTTAAATTAATGCAGTTTTGTAAATATTAAAACACTTGAACAGTTCCATAATTAAATTTGAATTTGACGATTTCACTTATTAAATGCTCGAAAATTTCTAGTCCGATTCGATTCTCGTTAGAATCGAACCAAATCAAATCATGCCCCACAGGACTTTGAATTCTACTTCTTGCAATGATGTGCTGTAATTACATACAAACAAATCGAACAACCTACAAACAATAATTAATGACTCAAGAGAAGAATGTCTAATTAATAGATATCTTCGTCAGATAACGTAAAAAGACTAAAGCCAAAAATCATTTGATCACAAAAGGAGCTTCACTCTCGAATTTCTTCTTTTCTAGCTTTTGATATGTTAATCTTATTTTTATTGCGACCGTTCAAAATCTACCGAAGAGAAGACGAGAAGAAAGTTTAGGAGGAATTAAGGTGTAAGAATGAGAGAATATGAATGGAATAATGTGAAGACTATTTTTCATTAACTGAATTCAAGAAGAATACTTTTTGAATAATTTAAAAAAAATAAAAAAATTGTAGGTGAATTACTTTAATTTGATAGTTTAAATAGGACCATTTACAAGTCCATTTTCAAAAATTGCCCTTTACTACAAATAATAATATTTTAATATATAAATTGGGACAAAAAGCTCCTCTCATCAATTACTATTTTTATCACCTTTGCAACGGATGCTCCCTCGCCTTATTTCCCTCTCTTCAATACTAGTCCACATCCAAATCTCAAAGCGTAGTCTCCATCCCTAAAACATAATATTTATGCATAAAGTTTATTCAAAGATTTCAGCTTTAAGGTATATATTCAAGAAAATTGCGTGTTCTCTGTGAGAAGTTTTCAGAAGAATAAAATTTAGGAGTTTTTAAGAAAAGAAAGCAAATGGGAGTTTGCACTTCCAAACCCAAATCCACCAATTTCCACTCATCAGATGAAATCAAGTCCACAGCTAATGCACGGGATAAGGATAATACTATTTCTGGGAGTTTTGAGGAGAAAAAGGGGGATTCAGAGGTAGGTAAGAAATCTCCATTTTTTCCATTTTACAGCCCCAGTCCGGCGCATTATTTATTCTCGAAGAAGTCTCCGGCTAGATCTCCAGCTAGTGGCACGCCGAGGAGATTTTTCAAGAAGCCGTTCCCACCTCCCTCTCCGGCGAAGCACATTAGGGCTGTGCTCGCAAGGCGGCATGGGTCGGTGAAGCCAAATGAGGCAGCGATACCGGAGGGGAAGGAGGTGGCAGAGGCGGGACTGGATAAGAATTTCGGGTTTTCAAAGAATTTAAACAATAAGTACGAGATGGGAGAGGAGGTGGGGAGAGGGCATTTTGGGTATACTTGTAGAGCAAAGTTCAAGAAGGGAGAGCTTAAAGGACAGGAGGTTGCTATCAAGGTCATTCCAAAAGCAAAGGTTCGAAATATTATTTTCTTTTTCAATTTTTTCACAGGCATTTTTGTGTTGCCGAGTTCAGTGATGATTTTACTTCTGATCTCTTTTGGATTTGCTGTTTTAGAGCTCACCTGAATAGGGTTTTGGTGGTCTGATATGCAGTGAGATTGAATTCTGCATTCAGAGCGCAATAGGTTATAAATTTATGGGTGAACAATTAAATTAATTTTTTTCATGGATTTAGTTTTTTCTAAATAGAATTTCATAATTCCGTTTAGCTGCAAGAATCGTTTTTAAATTAAAGTGGATTATATTTAATAGATGGAAAACAGCGTTATAGGATTGAAATGAATTTGTAAATGAATCTACATAGGTTTTATGGTGCAGCAGTCTAAAGTGTGATTTCGAACGTGGGAAGGTGTAGGTTTCTGGGAAGGGAATCAGGTTTCGGTTGCTGCTATTGGCTTGCACAAGACTGTTGATATGGCTTTTGGGGAGGTGTTTGAAGGCTTGACATACGCGTCAATATAGCATTGCATCTTATCCATTTTTTGTTTTTAATTTCGATATAATTTCCTCCGTTTGTTTCTAAGGCTTGAAATTTCATGAATGTTGCCTAGAATTACCTAACCTCTCAAGTTATCTGTGTCAATATAGCATGTCGTTCACATTTTCTGTTTCAAACTTAAATCCGATGAAATAGTGGATCCCAAGTCTTGTGTGGTGACACAGGTACATAAAACCAATTGAATCAATGGTATGGGAATTGGCATATTTGCTCTGCCTAAGGCTGGGGTGGCTAATTGATTGCTTGGCAGAAAGGGGATCCCGTATAATCCAGAAGAGTTAAAGTCGACCTAGGGGCTGGTGTACCCTGAATTGGTCAATATATTTCACAGAGATGCCAATAAATTTATGATAATGAATCAGGGCATGAAGCATGAGTAGAGTAGTTGATAGTTGTACCAATGAGCATTTTGATTCTAATTCATGGAATCATTTGATTCTTGTTACAAATCGCATTGTGTGGAATTGCATCAATATGCACATTGATTTATTCAGGAGAACTATTATAAGATGATGCCAGTAATGTAATTTTCAACTACTTAAGAATACTGAAGGTGAGTCAGAAATTGACTGTTTATTAGTTAATAGCGCTTAAAATATAAGTCAGGGCTGCAACTATAAGAGTCAGGATCCTTGTAGAAAATCATCTGCTCATAAGTTGGATTCATAATCTGTTTCTTCAGATGTGGTTATACTTTCCTTTGCAGATGACCACTGCTATAGCCATTGAAGATGTAAGAAAGGAGGTGAAAATATTGAGAGCTTTGACAGGACATAGCAATCTTGTTCATTTTTATGATGCATATGAAGACCATGAAAATGTCTACATAGTGATGGAGTAAGATATGCTTGTTTGATTTTAATCCTGTTTTAATTTCTGTACTAGTATGTTATACAATTTGTTTCGTTAATGGAAAATTTGCATAGTAATCATTTAATTTCTGTTCAAGAACAATCTTGGAACTTTCTCTTTGAAAAATTACCCAGTCATAAGCTTAATTTGATTATTCTACTTCCTTCTTTATAAATATTGAACTTTCTCTCTCAGATTATGTGAAGGAGGGGAGCTCCTGGATAGAATTCTATCAAGGTATTTCTACATCTGTATTTCTGAACCTTTTTGAATGCTTGGTGTGCTGTAAGTGAAACACTAATCTGCATATTCCAGCAGTCACTAACAAATCAATGTTGTCTCCTTTGTTTCAGGGGTGGAAAATACAGTGAAGATGATGCGAAGACTGTGGTGACACAAATATTAAATGTTGTTGCATTCTGCCATCTTCAGGGAGTGGTACACCGGGATCTTAAACCAGAGGTATGAGCTCGTACTTATCAGCATAGTTTCTGGGTCAAAAGGCCTATCAGGTTTGCGCTGGACTTAATGTAAAATCTTTTGTCCTTTTCTTTTGTTGTCAGCCGTCAAGAACAATATGGTTGTTCCTTAGAGGAGAAGATATGATATGCCTATTAGTAACAAGAATAATCCCCGAAAAAATAAAAATAAAATAAAAATAAAATAAAATAAAATTGTAACAAGAATGGAATAACTGAAGTCCGTTGATACCACGTGTTTTTCTGTAGCTTTATCTTATTTGCTTCATCATCTGTCCATTGTAATATTTCTATTTTTTGTTTTCTCTAGTTGAATTTAAAAATGTTTCTTGTTTTATGCATATTCTTGTCTAACTGTAGCTTTCTTGCTTGATCAGAATTTCTTGTTTACATCAAAGGAAGAAAACTCACAACTGAAGGCCATAGATTTTGGATTATCAGATTTTGTGAAGCCAGGTTTTTTCTTCTTTAATCCATTAGCTTTTGCTAATTTCTCTTTGTCCAAGGTGGCTATTAAAATGAGTTGAATGATGTTAATATGCTGAATTTGCAGACGAAAGACTCAATGACATTGTTGGCAGTGCATATTATGTTGCACCTGAAGTTCTACACAGAGCATACAGCACTGAGGCTGATGTTTGGAGTATAGGTGTCATAGCATATATACTATTGTGCGGAAGTCGCCCATTTTGGGCTCGGACAGAGTCTGGGATCTTTCGTGCTGTTATAAAAGCTGAACCAACTTACGAAGAACAACCTTGGCCTACATTGTCTTCCGACGCCAAAGATTTTATCAAACGTCTACTGAGTAAGGATCCAAGGAAAAGAATGACTGCAGCTCAAGCTATGTGTGAGTATCTTATAGAACAAATATAACTTGCAGATTTTTTGTGAAATTTTGTGAAGCCAAATTTTCTGTTTCAGGTCATCCATGGATCAAAAATAGTAATGATGTTAAAGTGCCTTTGGATATATTAATATTCAAACTCATGAAAACATATATACGATCATCACCCCTCCGGAAAGCTGCTTTACGGGTGCGTATGTGACATTGTAGTGAAATGATACTGCTCCATTCATTTGACTGTGACTTTTTCGTCATTTCTTAAGTATATTGTCTGAGAGCTCCCCTGATAATAGAACTTAGCTTTCTATTTGAAATTCATGCTAGTTACTGCTGCATTTGGAAGTGATGGCAGAATTTTTTTCATTTTATGAGGCTGCTTTATGAGAGTATAGTCCAGGGTGAACTGTGGGGTGCATATTGGTAAATTGAGTGAAGGAAAGGAAGAAAATGATTAGGAAATATATCTCCCATAGACAGGAAAGACGGAGGACAGAAAAGTAGGGCAAAAAGTGCATTTCTCGTACTTTGCTTTGAATTGATAGATTAGAGATGTTAATCTTTAAATGTAAATCGCACACTAAATTGAAAAAAAAAAAAAAAAAAAACATTTTATACACAATTTTTGATTCATCATACCAGACATGGGGGGAGAGAAAATTAACTTATCTTCCATAAAGGATGCAATTGGAGATAATTTCCTTTAAACCCATTTTCCTTTCTAGCATAAAACGTCTGGGAGAAGAAGAGAAGTACTTTCGTATTGAATCTGAAAATTTTGTTCCTGATTTTGCTCTTCGACGAATTTTACTTCCCTTGTTTCTTGTTCATTTCATTGCTTCACTTGTTTTTATCTGCTGAAGTGCTTCTTTTTTTCATACTCGATTATATGCAGTCTCTATCAAAAACATTGACCGTAGATCAACTATTCTACCTGAAGGAGCAATTTGCGCTACTGGAACCAAGCAAAAATGACACCATAAGCATAGAAAATATCAAAGAGGTTGGTTTTCTGAGATTGTCATCTTCTGTTGCTAGTCTTTACTTGATAAATCAATCACATCATCTGTTCTTTGGTCAGGCCTTTACTAAAAGTGCAACTGATGCCATGAAGGAATCGTGCATATATGATTTTATCTCTTCAGTGAGCTCCTAACTGCCTAGCTTTGTAATTAGTTCAGATTTGATAGAATCACATTTTCAAATGCTAAATGATTTTCCGCTCATTCATGGCAGCTCAATGTACTTCAGTACCGAAGGATGGATTTCGAGGAATTCTGTGCTGCTGCATTAAGTGTGTACCAACTCGAAGCTCTCGATAGATGGGAGCAACACGCACGCTGTGCCTATGAACTCTTTGAGAAGGATGGAAACCGGACTATAATGATTGAGGAATTGGCTTCGGTAATGGCATTTCTTTTAGGAGTTTTATTTATTTATTTTTTTCCTAAAAACTGTGGAACAAAACTTGCAAGCAAGCAGAGAAGTTCTGGTCAGGGGAATATAAATCTGACTTTACACTAATTTGGAAACATTGTTTCAGGAACTTGGCCTTGGCCCTTCTGTTCCTGTTCATTCTGTTCTTCATGACTGGATTAGACACACTGATGGAAAACTTAGTTTCCTTGGATTCATCAAGTTGTTGCATGTTGTTTCCAGCCGGTCTCTCATGAAACTTCAATGACACTTTTGGGTATGCTTCTAGACCCGATTTTACCTATCCCCTAGTTCAGATCAGAATCGTTTTCTCCTGGCAAAATATGGCTAACTTCATCTTTTGGGCTGGTATTAGTCCAAGCGAGAGACTTCAAGCCACTCTTACTGATTTTGGAGGATTGGAGTCAGAATCCCTGTATTTTCAATAATTACATGAGTTTATGTGTCCTGTGTAAAGCTGTAGTTAGTATTTTTATTTTGATTGCAGGTGAGAATATTTCTCAGCTGTTTTAACATACGTTTGTATCTTCTCTTGTTCTGCATATACCTTCCAATCAAATTATATTTCTTCTTTTTTTACTTTTTAGAACAGAGACGTTTCTGTTTGTTTTGTTTCATTTGTCAAACTAGAAGATTTTAACACGCCGAATACTATTTTTGTAATTGAAACTAATTCCTTGAGTTCCCTGCATGGACAGGAAAAAAATAAAAAAGATGGAGAAAAAAATATTAATACCTACGTGGAAAACTTCAAAATTGGAGAAAAATTACAGATAATAAAAGAAATTTACAATGGAAAATGTTACAATCTTCTCAAACTTACAAGTACGCCAAAAGCGTTACGATGAAGAAAATTCTGGACAAGACTCCAAAAGATCATCGAGGCGTCCATAAATATCTCTCACAAATTCATCGACACCAACGTAGCCCACCAATGATGGATCTTAAAGAAATTTCCCAGATGGACAAGGACTTGTTAACTTTTATAGATTCAGAGTATAACCTATCATATGCACTGTTCTGAAAAGCAGAGTATTGTGAATAATAGATGTTTGTTTGCACCCTCCTTGAATCGTAACTTTGTGTGTACCAAATTAGAACACGAATCCCCCTGCTGTCCATTATTTTTTCTATTGGATTCTCCCTCTCCAGGAAAAATCATCACACCAACTTTACACGCTAGAATATTTCGTACTATTCAATACTAATACGGCTAGAAAACACACAATTATCGCACTGTCGAATACTTAAATTACTAACAAACCAATTACAAGAATCAAACACAACACATCCACCTGGGAAAGACCAGCAGAGACATGAATGGGGATAGAAGAATGTAACGGGTTGGAAATTCTTGCTTTCAGAAAAGTCTGGGGCCGGAGGAGGAGGAGGAACGGAGGTCGATTTCTTGGGTCCAGGCCGACTGGTCCTGAACATGCAAGTGCCAATAAGTCTGAGCCAGCGCATCCGGATCCAACATCCCGTCCCCTACGCTTTGTTGTTGCTCTCCAACCGACGATGAATTTGGTACCAAACTTGATGCACTCACGGCCGCCCTGACCATGTTTCAATGACAACTTGGTCAATCTCTGCATTCATCCATATCACATATTTCGCCAACTACGTCTAAAGGGTGTTTGCATTTTAATTGAATTTAATTTTCTGTGAATTCTGAACCTTTTCATTTTGTGACACTTTCTAGTGGACCTCTTCTGTCTACTTGATTGTTAGATAGTTGCATGCAAGTTGCTCACGTCAAATGCTTCTTGAAAAAAAAAAATAATAAAATAAAATAAAAAATAATAAAAATATTCAATAAAAGTAGATCTAACAAGCAAAAATCTAAAGTTGGAATTGTTTCTAATAAGTATTAACTTTTAGAATGCTGAATCAAAGACAAAAAAGAGAATCAATTCAAAGTGTACAAACCTAGGTGAGCCGACAATGCCGTCGATGATTATGTGAGCCACGTGTACTCCAATAGGTTGGTACTCTCTTGCGAGGCATTGAGATAAGGCTCTCATCGCAAACTTCCCACAACCTATTATCATTAACTCAAAAATAATCATAGCATTAATCGAATTTAAGACAAATTAATTATAAAAATAGTACTGTGATGTAATTACATACATAATTGGGAGTAACCGGCAATGCCATTAAGAGAAGCTGAACATCCTGTGAAGAGAATCGTCCCTCTCCCTCTCTCCACCATTCCTGGAAGTACCTGAAATATTCATGCACAAATATACAGCAAATTGTTAAACTTGAATAGGAAATCTTAGCCCATGAATAAGTGTAAATGGACCTGTTGAGCGCAGTGGAAGGCGCCAACGGAGGAGACGGCGAGGGATTTTTCGAAATGATCGACTCTAATGTCGGTGAAACTTGTGGGCGGCCACGAAACGGGTAGATATGCATTGTAAACAAGGACTTCAACAAAACCCAAGGAAAGGACCCCCTCAAACGCCTCCTTTATACTTCGAGAATCCGAGCAATCGATTCGGATTGCAAAAACTTGCGCCTTTTCATCTCTAGCTATCTCATCAGCAAATCTTGATAATCTACCTGCAACAAAAGTAGTGCACAAAATCACAATATTTAGTGACTAATAATTCTGCTTGCGGTGTGGGTGTGGGCGTGTGAGTGGAGAAAGAGTACTGGCCTAAGTCACGGGAGAGGATGGCGACGGTGTATCCTTCGTGGGCGAATTTGCGGGCAATGGAACGGCCGAGTTTGGGGCCGACGCCAACAATGGCGGCGATGCCTTTCGGCGAGGCAGAACTAGCCATATTCCGCATCTTCACTACCCTTTCCACCAAATGTAAGTATGGTTCTGTAAAACTGAGAATTAAAATTCTGTTTTTTTCACATGAAGCTAAGGGATTTTCCGGTGAAGAAGAAGAAGATGGAAATATGCACAATTTTTTTTTCTTATCTTGCAGTCTCTGTCTGGATTAAACTGCTACGTAGCCAGAGTAGAGACAGCATTTTTATTTATTTATTTATTTTTTTGGTGCTTGATGAATTTTCTTCAGGTAATCAGCTCGAATTAATTAATTGCTCTCTCTCACAGTCTTTGTATCTTGAGGAATATATATATGGTGGTGGAGCCTACTGTGATTGAAACGTAATGAATACTGAAAAGGTTAAACCCTGATCTTAATGGTCCCCCACCATCCCTACTCTGGAGCATCGTGAGGGAGGTAAATTGCAGGTTATGTCTCCAAAGGTACAGGGTGGAAGGCTGCTTGTACACTTGCACTTACCCAAGAGCCAAATCCATATTTCAGGATTCGAACCCTTGACGCAGCAGCCTCAAGCAAAGTTGAATTTCTCCACCCTCCTCTTTTACCATTTGGAGATTACTACTTCTAGTGCTTTCTCTTTTAAAATCAATGTCAATGAAATGAGAAAGGATTCATTTTTTTTGAGTAAATTTAACCAATAATCACTGAACTTTACACTTGATTACTACTTGCTCACTCATCTTTCACATATTACTGAATGCTCACTCATCTTTTCATATAATTACTCATTCATCACTCGTCTTTTCAAATAATTGGGCGACTTTTACGGCAAATTTTCGACAACTCCGACCACAAAAAATGTCGAATTTTGATACCGTTGGAAAGCCCACGATGTCCTCTTCAATTACCACCCAAAATCTCATTATAACTCCAAGGGATTCGATCGAAAAATTGCCTTAAAAGTTGCCCAAAATTTTTGAAAATCTGCCCAGATTTTCAGATTTTTTGACGACTTTTAAGGCAATTTTTCGGCAATTTTCGACCATCAAAACTATCGAATTTTGATACCATTGGAAAGCCCACAATGTCATCTTCAATTACCATCCAAAATTTCCCCATAACTCCAAAGGGTTCGATCGGAATAAACCCACAAAATCAGCATCTTGAAAAGGCGAAAATCTGGACAAAGTTCGGGATGCTGACTTTGTGAGTTTATTCCGATCGAATCCTTTGGAGTTATCGGGAAATTTTGGATGGTAATTGAAGAGGACATTGTGGGCTTTCCAATGGTATCAAAATTAGATAGTTTTGATGGTCGAAAGTTGCCGAACAATTGCCTTAAAAGTCGTCCAAAAAATCTGAAAATCTGGACAGATTTTCAAAATTTTTGGGCGACTTTTAAGGCAATTTTTCGATCGAATCTCTTGGAGTTATAATGAGATTTTGGATGGTAATTGAAGAGGACATCGTGGGCTTTCCAATGGTATCAAAATTCGACATTTTTTGTGGTCGGAAGTTGTCGAAAATTTGTCGTAAAAGTCGCCCAATTATTTAAAGAGACGAGTGATGAATGAGTAATTATATGAAAAGATGAGTGAGCATTCAGTAATATATGAAAGATGAGTGAGCAAGTAGTAATCAAGTGTAAAGTTCAGTGATTATTGGTTAAATTTACTCCATTTTTTTTTATTATAGTTTGCTAATAATTAGTTTAATTTTAAGAATTTCTCATTTGTACAAAATGATCCTTCATATAATCATTACGGATACTCACATGGAGGTGAGCCCCATATAAATAAAATATTGACAAAAAAACTTCATCTACCTTTATTGTGTGTATTCTGCAAGAATTTTGCATGTCAACGTTAGGATACATATAGCACGACCCATTCTGTAATCCTTTGGTACAAAAGCAAGGCTCTTAATTTTATGATTAGTAATGACAGTCGTAGTGTGGGGGTTCGATTCTTGAGATATGAAATTGAACTCCTTGTAAGTACAATGTATATACAACTCTTGTTCTCTAACCTTTTAGAACACATTCTGCGATTTACCTTTCTCATAAAACTTTAGAGACAAGGTGATGGGTACCTGAGGATTGGGTTCAACCTTTAATTGTATGATTAGTAATGACTTCACAACTTAAGATTTGACAGTAGTATTTGTGCCAATTAGTCAACGTGGACACAGAAAGGACTGAAATATTTGTCGTTTCCGCCAATATTAGCTTTTGCTACTGTGTCCACTCATGATTGGCTAATTTTCTTTCTTTCTTTCTTCTTCTTTTATTTGTCTGTTTCTTTTCCTTTTTTTGGCCCAAATAAATTAACCCTTTTTTCTGGTGCAAATGAATTCACTTATCATTGAGGAAACTTTATTAGAATGGATCCACTCTTATTTTTTTACAATTAAGAAAGTAAAATTGATGATGATGATGATAAATTTATATTAAGACCATGTTTGATTCTCTTTATGAAGAAAAATGAGTTTTGAATAGTATTTTTAGAAGAATGTATAGTTAAAAAGTAGGAAAAAGATTTCAGTATACGTGTAAAATATTTTATTATATGAATGTATTCTTGAAAATGATCCCACCGCAAATTATAAAATAAATTAATGAGCGTCAAACAATCACTAAGAGTAGAGGTTACTGAAATTTTGAAAACGAAGGTAACGCTTATGTTATTGTCATAATGTTCGTGAAAGGTTTTTGTAATTTACTCTCACCTATTATTACTAATCATGGTTGAACGAGGTTGCATGTTATTATGAAATGTTTTATATGTGATATAAAAATAATATTTGAAGATGTGAGAATACAAAAAATAATTAACACAAATTGTTAATGTGGAATCACTTTTTGATTCAAATGAAATAAAAATAATTTAAATAGTTGATGAAATCAATTAGAATAGTCCATCCATTTACCGTTTTGATTTGAACCGAACATTCACCGATTATCACTCTTTCTTCATATTCGTTTAATATGAATTGAATATATGAATTGAAATTATTTATTATAGATAAGCATTATGGCCTCATTTACCTGCTTTGTATCTTAATATTCATTGAATAAATCAATTGGAGAAAACTCTAAAAATATTCATCTTTTGTTCCAAATTTTATTTAACGAATTTAATTTATTATCCAATCAAGTGGAATGAAACCATCAAATGTATATTGATTATAACTAAATAATTGGCAAAATAATTCATGATACTATTGTTCAAATGATTAGATAAATCAAATAAATATTGCAAAACGAAAAGATAATGAATCCGTTGGTGATTAGAAATGGCTTTTCACCTACGGAAAATTACCAACGGATGCAGCAAAACGAAAAGATAATGAATCCGTTGGTGATTAGAAATGACTTTTCACCTACGGAAAATTACCAACGGATTTATCCGTTGGTAAAAGTAATTCACTTTTAGGTACGATAATTAGCAACGGATTTTCCGTTGGTAAAGATGATATCTTTTTAACAACCGATATTCCGTGCCTAATGTAATCGTTTAACATTTGGATCTTCCTCCAACGGACATTCCGTAGTTGATGCACCGAATATTACCAACGGATGCAATCCGTTGGTAATTAGAAACGGATTATCTATTGGTAAAAGTAATTCACTTTTAGCTACAATAATCTGCAACGAATTTTTCGTTGGTAAAGATGATATCTCTTTACCAACGAATATTTTATTGGTAATTAGAAATGAATTATCCGTTAGTAAAAATGCTATCTCTTTACCAACGGATATTCCGTGCCTAATATAACCGTTTAACATTTTGATCTTTCAGCAACGAATATTCCGTTGGTAATGAGAAACGGATTATCCGTTGGTAAAAATAATTCACTTATCCCACATCGGAAGTTTACAACAATATTTTTGTAGTTGCCCTCTATAAATTTGTGGTTCAATAAGAAGTTAAACAATATTTTAGTCTTTCAATTCAGTTGGCTAAACATAAAAAAAAATATTATAATTATTAAATAAATGATGATGATGATGATGATGATGATAATAATAAATAAATAAATAAATAACTTTTTTACCATAGGTTAATTACAACATTGATTTTTACCAATTGTAATGGTAGACAATATTAACGAAAAGTCGATTGGTATTTGTTAAGACTTTTACCAACGAAAATTTCGTTGGTAAAAGATTCACACTTTACCAACGGAAAATTCGTTGGTAAAATATTTACTCTTTACCTACAGCATAATCCGTTGGTAATTATCAGGGACCCTCAAATTACCAACGGATTTGTGGTTACAAATATTCCGTTGGTAAAGATTATAAGCAACGAATATTGAGACTTTAGGAATGAAAAATTCGTACCTGAAACTCTATTTTTTAGTAGTAATATGTCAAATATACATTCATCATAATTAACTAGTTGACAAAATAATTAATGATAATATTGTTCAAATGATTAATAAACTAAATATATATTGAAAAAAGAAAAGCAGGATATTATTGAATTAATTAAATATATATTGAAAAACAAAAACTATGATATTATTGAAATAATTGAATTATAGTAAAAATAGAAACATTCAAAAAATAATTCTCACATGTTGTGATATTTAATAATTTATAAATAAACTTCATTACTACATTAATCGAAATCTAAGTATTTAATAGTAAATACAATTGTCATTTTAGGGTGTAAATCATTTTTAAAGTAATGAAGTGATCATCCTTAAGGGAATATTTTTCTATTGGACTATGAAAAGGATCGAGCTTCATGGTACAGGGTAGAGGTTCACCCTACCAACCATTCACATCATGGGGGTGGATGGATTTTTGGCCAAATTTTTATAAAAATGGGTCCCATGCCCGCTGTGAGGGTTGGCAAGGGTAGAGATAGGGATAGGCGTAGCCGCGTAGGGGTGAACCCGTACTTGGTAAAACAGCAAAACTCTTGTGAAAATAAATAAAATTATTTGTACAATGTATTTGCACAATTTGATTGACAACATGTGTTGGAAAAATTCTGATCATTAATTTTAAAAATAATTTTTCAAATAGATGAATGTGATGTTTGTCAAGTTCATACATTATACAAGTAGCATGATTGTGTGAAAATATGGAAGTAACTAGTTAGCAGTATTGTAGTGTTACACTCACTATATTCCCTTCTATCAAAATCCTCGACTTCAAAGATATCGCATTCCTCGTTGTTGAAAAGGATATGACGAATGAATTGGGACAAGCGTGCATTAATTGTAGTGTACCCAATTACAAAACTTGGGTGGATGAGCTGTTAAAAGAGTCAGATGAAAGGGGCTCCTGCCCGCAGTCTTTTATTGACCTCACATGCCAGCATTAATGGGTTACCGCAGTCACAACCATCATTTCAATATTCTTTATTTTCATTTTCAATTACAAATTTACGTAATAAAATATTTCGTACTTAAAAATAAATATTTTTTTTTTTACAAATTTACACAATAAAATATTCCTAACTTAAACTTAAAATATTTCCCCTATTTCTGTAACACGTATTTTTTAAAAATTCACTATTCAAATATTATATTTTCCAAATAAATTTCATCAAATATGGACTTAATAATATGGTGGGTTGTTGCCGCCACTCACCAATGTGGTGGTTCAAGAGACAAACCACCACCACAACTCCAGTTGTGTTGGGGAGTTGCGATTCGAGAGGTTGAAAAAGTGATTAAATCATTTCTCATCTGTTATATATAAGCTTGTCCGATATGTTGAATTCTAATTTAACTCGATTCAATTATTGTTGATAATATGGCCCAGAGACAATTAAGGTTGGTGACGATTAGCGTTACAAAACAATTGATTGGGGCTCACACCAACCCTTTATTACCAGGTGATAATAAAGTTCTTTATGAAATGGTGGTTTAGAGAGTCCCCAAAATTTCAATTATTTTAATACGATGAAAAGCAAATTTTTTGAACCCTTTACTTTCTTGGGAAATGCAACTTGATCCTCATGGATGACACTCGTGATGACTGTGCCCTCACATGAGATGCATGGGTTCCATTTGAATAAAATAATCCCCACCCCCATGCGTGTGTACGATCATTCCCGTGGTCATCCACGCGGATCATATAGCCTTACTCTTCTTTCTTTTAATGGCTATAATAGCTTGCAATATAGAAAGATTCACTGGAAAGAATTTTTTAAGTAGCGGGAAATTACATTTTTTTGGGAACCCCCATCAGCTGATTAAACCAAAAGGTTGGGTTGGCAATGATTTGGTTCGGGGTTGGTTCGGCCAAAACAATCACTGAACCACCAATTTTTTTGCCATACCATAACCATGTAAGTCGATTTTGGTTCGGTTCGGTTCGCATCTCGATTTAGCTTGGTTCGAAGCGGTTAATAACCATGAAAATAAATTATTTTTCATAGGTCTAGTCGTCAAATTGAAAAAAATAATTTATGAAAAAAATTCACACATGATGGTTATCAACTGATAGTCAAGTGAACTATATTGGAGCACTTCAAACAATTTGGCGTTGTTGATCACTTACCAGATCAAAATTATACAAAGGGCCAATAGAAGGTACAGCTGTAAGAAGGCGACGCTTTATGGTATCAAGGGTGATGTTTAAGTTACTGATAACAAAATCAAAAAAGGCAAAGACTATATATACTTAATTGCAAACAAATCCAGATGCCTAAAACTAATTAAACAATTAAATTTATTGTAAGAGAACGAGTTTTTTGAAATTGAAATTGTTGATTGAGAATGCTTCAAGAGCGAGTGAATTGATAACCATCATGTGTGACTACAAAGGAAGAAAAATGACCTTTATGGAGTTTGCAAAATTAGAGATTTTTTTATACATGTTTTGCGTTGAATTATTATTTAGATGGAAAAAAATAAATTTAACACGTAATCGATTCAGTTTGAGGCGACGGCGTAAATACTCTACCCGCACCACCCCCAACTGGTTTATTAAAATCAAATACCATATCCGTCTCATTGTACCATTGATTCGATTTTTTTTGGCCCTATTCGGTTCGATTAACTGCGATTTTCGATTTTGACGGTTTAAATTACCATCCCTACCAAAAGGCTTATTTTTCTCTCAGGGGGACTCGAGAGAGTAGCTGCGGGTAGGTAAGTCTGCAAATGGATTGGGTTTATGTAGCTTGTGATTTGGGTCCAAACAGGTCACTAAGAGACCGTTATGTTTGGCCCAAACTTAACCCCGCCGTTTTATGGGATTATGCTAAATAAAAATTTAAAAGTAGATTTGCTACCTTCCACAAAGTTTGGGGACGAAAAGTTTTTTCTTTAATTTAAAACAGGACTAGGAAATAAATTATAAGGAAGATTATAACAACTTAACTAATTAAACTACTGATACTTAAATTATCAAAGTTCTTTTCTGCTGGTTTCTTAACTAGAAATAGGTTCTTAATGTAGTTACTATCATTAATACTTAAAAAGTCAAATTTAAATAGATGCAACTTGCAAGGAAATTTGAAATAAAATCCAATAATTTATCATGAACCCTCTGGTGGAGAACTTACAGATTGTAGCTCAGAGTTTGTCATGAGGGTTTGAGGACTCCTAACAAAGAAGCTCTCTGAGTTTTTCTCTATGGCAACGGCATGGGGTGACATGGTAGAGACCTTAAACTTATCGATCCAAAAAAGATGATCACCCCATATATCGTAAGTAAAATTTTCCTCCATCCCGGTACTCTCCACATGTTTCTCTGTTGTTTTCAGATTGTGGAATCTGGGTCCAGGAGCACGCGCATGGGGAGATATAGTAGATGTAGAAGCCAAAATGGGAGAACAGCACACTGAAGGAATGGCAGACCTAACAGCACTAGGAAAGGTGGCAGAAGGGATCAGAACAGCTCTGCCAGCAGCTTTTTTTGGAAAATTAGTATTCTCATGAGCAGAAAAAAACCAGTTTTTGTTGCCGTCGTTCAAAGAAACCTCAGGCCCCAACGCATTTGCCTTAGCACAAGGTTTAGAACATGTACTTTTCTTGCGTTTCTTGTTAGCAACCTGAATGAAGGGATTTCTACTTTCCGTAGAAAGTTTCACTTCAGGGGATATGGTACATGGCTGCTTAGGCATTAAAGACGTGGTGGGCAACAAGGGTGACGATGGTGTAGAATTGCCACTCTGACTGCATGAAACTTCAAAGAGTCCACTTACTCCTGTACTAGTATTCTTTTTGTTCCTTCGACCTTTTCCTCTCTCTTTCCCAATTTTAACCAATAGGTTTCCAGTTTGTGGTGCATCTCGTATATCAGAGCACTCATCTGACTCAGATTTTGACTGCGAGACGGATGACTGTAAGTTTTCCAGCTGAATGTTCAACAACCGGTTGTTTTCCTTTCGATTTCCCACAGAAGCATTCTCACTTTCTGGGCTGTTAGATTGACAGTGGGAATATTTGCCAACAGATTTCAATAGAACGGCCTCTTCTGCAATTGATCTTACTGAATCATTCATTTCTGGAGACACGGAAAACCTGCTACTGTTTTTATGATTATGATGTGAACGTGAAGATTTTACTGCATGGTTTGAGGTGAGCATGGAGCAATGTACACTCTTAAGCAAGATCTTTTGGGAGACAAAGGCCATTACATAGGGAAACAAGAAAAATAGCAGCAGAAACAATACAGAAGCAGTGAAAAGAATCCCAAACATAGATTTCTTCACTCGTGTCCGGAAAATTGATCTTCCGCAGAAGTTAAGCAAGTACACCAGAAGACTTGCTTTCATGGGTACCACAAGAATACCAGTCGCCAAAACCAGTTCAAGGTCTCTCTGTATTATAGCTGTAGAGAAGTCAGTTATGTACGATATTTGAAGCTTTAAGAATTCACCAGGTTGCAAAGAAAAACGTTCACATGTATGTACTGAAAATCCATTCAAACAGCATTCTGCCCCAGAAACTTCAATTCGTCTGATGTCTAGTGGAAGATCTCCCATGTTCTCAGCATACAGTTCTTTCGTCAAAGGCTGAGAACAGGAAAGACTTCTGTTCTCCATATAGTGTGACGTTTCTGGTAACGAGAAATTAAGAGGAGTTGGCAAGTCAGACTTAAACTCTAAACTCTGCACAGGATCAGACTCCTCAAGCAAGGCCAATGAAAGCAACCCCCCAAATCCTCTCAAAGTAAGCCATTCAACACCAGAGAGATTATTCCTTATCAGAGCTGAACTTCTCCAGTCACATAGCTTAGACGATTGAAAGAGGATTGGTCCTAATGATGCTCTACCATAAAGATAAACAAAAGCCTTTGTCAGTGCATTTTTCGCTATTGAAAAACCATACCTTGTTGGAGCAATTGTTTTATTACCCACTAAACTACTGGATGAAGGGGGTTGAAAGAGCATGTCATGTATACTGCACTCATCAATGATCTCCCCAGCATTTAAAATAAGCTGCATAACAGCTGGCTCTTGGCTTGGGTTTTTGACAGTTATCCACTGAGAAAAATGACTTCCAACCTGAACTGTCGGGAACAGTACTTCATCATCAAGAACAGACATGAAACTTGCACTAGCTTGAGATTTCCAGTTCCTGAGCATCAATTCATCTGCTTCTCTTGTATACACTGCCTTCAGAAAATGGTTGTTGAGAGAAAAAACTTGAAATACACGATTAAGTAAACAAGTAAAATATCATTTACAAAGGCAACGTCCTGATTCTGGATGTCATGTTGAAACTAGATGAAATGTTTTGCGGACAGAATTTCATGGGAGCAGCTTTTTGATAACGAAACATGAGACATGATTTGATCATCGAATACATGACAAAACCAACTTGGTCTACTATATAAGCATAAAAACTCCAGGAAAAATGACCTATATTTGTTTCAACTAAGAAGCAGATGAGCAATATGCAGGAGCTATCTAATTTCCTAGAATTTGCACAAAGTCAGATATTTCCACTATCTGTTAATCGCAGGATAGTTGATTCTCATTAACATTTCCACTATCTATTAATTGCAGGATAGTTTATTCTCAGTAACTAGAATCATAATACTTCATCACAGACGCGTATGAAACTACAGCCCCGTTCACAACCTCGACCTCAAAAATTTGTTGCAACTTGTACACATACTCCCTTAAATCTTTTTTAACAGCACAACCGCCTGCCAACCGTGAAATACATGATCAAATAATTAACTGCTAACATCAAAACCAAACGCTAATGTAGAATCCAGATACAAGGTATAAAAAGTAAGTTGAATTCTCTCTTTCTTTCAGTTGCCCCTTTTTGCAAATAGAACTGGTCATGATGTCAAGCAAGCACTAAATCTCATCCATTCCTCTGAGTCTTATATTTGAGAAGTCAAGGAATCTTGAACTTTATTAAAATTGAAGAAATACTAAACAAAGAAGCAGGAAAATATAAGTACCATGCATGGGACCCAACGTGAAGTAGCTTATAACATTTAAAATATCGTTGCAATTAATTTAAACTGAACTAAAAAGAAAAAGAAACAAATTTTTATTATTAAATAGCCACTGGTTGAATCAAACGAACCAAACAGAGAAGGAAAAATGGATTTAGTAGTATATACCAAATTTACTGTAATGACCTTAGTGTTTTGTAGTTGTTTAATGACAAGATGAAGCAAAGTCATCCATTTATCCTGGCAAAATTGTTTTAGGAGAAGAACATGGAGAAGAATCTACATACCTTTATCTCTGGTGGTGGCTGCATAATGCTGCTTAAAGATATTTGTCTCCAATTTCTTTCAAGAGGAACCACAGCCATATCAATATCATCTTTTGAAGATCCAAGCACCTTAATACAGACAGCACCAAAAAGCTTTCCTTCAGAATGGTTTGAAAGACCTAATTCCATAAGGGTCTCTGTTTTAAGAGGACTAAGCTCCCAATTTATATGTGGCTTCATGGCAATTAATGGTACATCAACTTCCTCACTTTCAATAACCAACCAGTCATTATTACTCAACATACTGTACTCACTTGTATCTCCGTTACTGTTGATACTACAAACAACTTTTACCGAGCACAAAGCATTTCTTGAGGAAATGGATATCCAAGCAGTTATGTCGTTGACATAGAGGGTTTCATCGAAACGATGAAGCAAAGACAAATTCTTTCTCCACCTTCCACCTGATGAAACATCAACACCAACTGGCGGCTTTATCCAATAAGGGGAATCGACAACAAAGCCTTTAGCCTGAATCACGAACCCACCAAAGCTTGTTTGCAAGACAAGCTGAGCTGAGGATAAGCCTAACTGCGTAGGAAGAAAAACAAAACAAATTGAAGCAACTTCCCCTGGAATCAGAACCATTTCACTGAAGTTGCATGGATAAAACTGTGAATTGGTACTAAATGGATCATATACATTCAAACTGCTGTCACTGTCCAGATTTTGCACTGTTAAAAATGCTAAGGAAGGAAAATACAAATGCTTTTCTCCCCAGTCCAATAAGGAAGGCTTTATTTCCACCTGAGGTCTAGCCAAGCCATCCACAAAGTTAGATTTGGCATTCCTAATATTCTCCCCTGATTGAAAATTCTGGGTTTTACGATCGAGTAATGGCCTTCTCCAAGAAGAAATATCACTTAGTTGGCTGCTTCTGGGATTAATACTGTGACTTGGCAATTCACAGTAATTCTTTTGATAATCATAAAACAGAGAACAGCAAATTGTCTTTCCACCCAATAACCTAAAATTACCACAGGACCGACTTAAGTTACTTCTCTCCTGATGCAATCCCACGGACAATCCATTTTTGGATTGAATCTCAGAAACATCAAATGCTAGAGACTCATCCTCATTTTCTTTAGAATAATATCCAGGCAATGTAGATGGAGAACAGAATGCATTGAAATCCGCACATACATTGTCAAGTCTATGTTTTTGTAGCAAATTTCTCGACATAAAATTAGAATTACTCTGACCATCAAATATATCTTGAAAGTTCATATCAGAATTGCCTCTGTAGGACCCGCATAGCTCGCATCCCAATCTATCCTGTTCTCCATTCACTGAACGTGGCCCACATGTGGCAAGAATGGAAAGAGCGCACAACAGAACCCGCACAAAGTAAAATGACTTGGCAGAGCCAAAAAATCCCCTAAACATAAATCAAAAGTTGATGTCAAAAGAAACATGAATTTCCAAAATTAAAATTGAAAAAGGAAAACGAAAATTTTGGACATGTAAACTAGTCAAAACCCTTCAGTTATCACTTCAGCCAAAATAGCACAAATACAGAAAACAAAAGAAATATCAATTTACACAGAAAGAAAAAGCATGGCTTCTTTGATTAAGATAAATAAATAGGCGATGGCCTACAATTTACAGTAGAATGCATCGTTATTCATCTGGCTTTGACTAAAAATAAACTAGCATCACCATAAACAAACAATCAAACAAATAAGTACTCTTCCACGTCTTCTCAAAAGTTCCGCCATTATCAGAACCCACAAGCTCTCTTCATCAAACTCAAATAAAAACAAAAACCCAGTAATTACAGAAAACGGCAAAAAGGCCTCTTCTTGCATTTTCACCAAAAAAAGGGTATAAAGAGCTCTAAAAATCAAGAAAAAACGAGGGAGAGATTGATGGAGTTACCAGGGGTAGGACATAGAGAAAAGCTGATATGTGAAACCTTTCATCAATACGGTTTGAGAGAACATCCGCTATAGCAAAAATAGATCATCCAATGAATTTCTTTTAGTCGGACGTCCGACTGCCCTAGCATATATGCTGGAGTAGAAATGCTCACACACCTGATGACAACAAATGAATACATATGACGACGAACAACAGAACTAAGGGGAAATGAACCCCTCTACCGAGGTTTGATCATGATCAAGGGCTAAATTGGGGATTTCAAGAAGGAATGGGGGGTTGAAGGGAAGTTTGAAGACCATTTTTGTCAGTTGGTTGGCTTAAAATAAAATCTAAGTTCGTACGTGATAATAACAGTCCTAATTCTGGTAATTAAACAATTCTTACAAGGTTATGGTCGAGCATCTTCGTAGGTCGAACACGACAAAAGACAATTTTTATAGCATCGACCCTGGGAATTTTATGATAATATCAAATATATCTTTTCGCAGTTAAAAATGTTTGAGATACTCCTTTTGTTTTTTATTTTTTTTATTTTTTATACCCAAGTGTCCTTGCTTCGCTAAACTAAATCCTCGATCTCTAGCCACCAGCCCCTCAATGACTAGCAGAGGTAAATCGCAGGTTGTGCCTTTATTGGATCACAGGTTCCCACCCGATCTAAACTCTTGACCTCAAGAAAGCTTTCCTCCATAGTGATTGATCCACCAATAAATTGTCCCTTTATTAGATCACAAGTTCCCACCAGGAATCGAACTTTCCACGCTGAGGTTGCGAGTGCGCCAAAGGTGATTGATCCACCAACTCGAATGTGCCCTGGGGGCTGATTGAGATACTCCTTAATCATTTTTAAGGATGATTATGTTCACACTATAATATAATAAAATATGAAAATTCGAAAAATAAAAATTGTAGCTTGTTTTTGTGTATCTTCATTATTCCATATTTGGCCCCGTATGGCTTTGGTGGGAATTAAAATTAAAATTTTGATAAATTTCAATAAAAATTAATAAAATATGTAATTAAAAAGATGTTGATATCATAAAATATGCGTAGATTTTACCAAAGATGGCTTATATTTGTGAACTCAATGTGCACAAGAACAGTGGTGGAGCCACGTGGTGTTGTAAGGGCTATGGGCCCACAAAATTTTGAATTTCAATTTTTTTTTATTACTTTTTCTCATAACTTAAATTTTTATTCCTTCCCTCTTTTGAGCATCGTGCACAACATTTTTAGAGGTCCAAAATTAATAATTCATTTACCTTTCCTCCCTGTAATCTGGTGTTTTGCAAATTCCATCAAAATCTAATTCCACTAATCAACTCGTTGATCCACGTCGTGACTACAAATATTTAGTCATTAGGCCACCTCTCTCCTCATCATTTAAGTCTCAGCCCACTTAGTATTACGTTATTTTACTTTTAGTTAGTAAATTGTAAAATTTTTTTTTTTTATAATTTATCTTAATTGAATAAGTCGGTATTTATTAGGCTAATTTATGCCCTATCAATATTTTGTGCAAAATTAGTGTTCGTGTCGTTCTTTTTAAGGACGTGTTTGAGTCATATTCTTTTTAAAGAATGTATTTTAGAATAGTAAAATTGATGGTGAATATGGTTAAAAAAATAAAGATTTTTTTTTATATGAGTGTAATATTTTTTAAATAAAAAATATATGGTTAAAAATAAGAGAAAGAAAAATATATTTTAAAAAAATGGAAATCGAACACCCGTAAATGTAGTTTGTATAATATTGAAATGAATGGCCATTAGTTGTACCAACGATCATTTTGTACACTTTTGCACTACTCAACTCAATTGGCTGAGAAGTCAATTGCTTGACTGGAATGATAGAGAGATTCATAAAGATTCTTCTTGAATAAAATAAATTAACATCAATTTGGAATCTGGATTCAAGTTCATCAAGAGCATCTTTCCATCATTTTGTTAATAAAGTCAAATGAGTTATGCTGGACGGATGGGCCCGGTCGGTCCAGGAGGACTTTTTTTTTTTTTCATACACAATATTGACACGTATCTGTAAAGTCATTGGATCGCTATTATGTGTGATGGTTTTAAATTGTGATATATAATCAATTCAGATGGCTGTTTTGGAACTACAATTGGGGACAAACTAGGAAGAATATCTATTATAATATATATATATATATATAATAATATATTACATATCTAATAAATATCGATCCTATTATCTCGACAATTTCAATCTCTCCCTACAAAATCGTCTAGCTAGTCATTGGCATCCACTCCGTGCATCTTCTCTCACATCATGATGGTAGTACAGATCTAGATAAAAGGTATCAATTCGAGATCCATGAGTTTTGCATCTCAAGGATAACAATTTCTTTGGATTTTTAATATAGCGAAACATCGAAGATAATTGATGAATTATCTAATTGAACTTTAATTGACGGATTTTTGGCATTGTGATTTACACATGTAAATTGTTACATGTGATAGTGATACAATAGTCTGTGACTAGTTTTTTTGGATCTATGACCTTTGGACATTTATTTATTACCTGTGATATTGATTCAATGACCAGTGATCAATTCTCTTGGATCTGTAACTTGTAGATATTAGTCTGTTATCTATGCCAAATAACCCGTTAATTGTGAACTGTAACATTTGAACTATGACGTGAACTGTAACATTTGAACTATGACCTATTATCACTGCATAGACATGTGACATTTGATTTGTAACTAGTTAATATTAATTTGTGACTTGTCAACATTGACCTGGGACATATACAATATGTAACCTATGAAATGTTACCCGTGAACATAAAGTAGTGATTTGTGATCAATTTTAACTTATTTGTGACTTGTGGACATTAATTTTATGACCCATGAACAAATTATAAGTAACCACAACCTCATTAGCACCGGCACCACAAATTGCAAACCACCAACAATCACCTCCACCACTGACAACCACCATTTGTAAACTACAAAACCAAGCAAACCACTAAAACAACATACTCGTCGTGTAGGCTTTGCACACAGTGGCGCTATGAGGGCCGTCTCACAACGACGCTTGCTCAAGAGCGTTGTTGCATAGCGATGCTCATCGTTGTGAGCTTGGTGGTGTCTCTAATATCGTCCATGCATGTGAGAGAGAGGCTAGAGAGATGAGCGTCGCTTTGAGGTCGACAGTGGTCTATAGCGGCGAGCATCCACTCCGTGCATCTTCTCTCACATCATGATGGTAGTACAGATCTAGATAAAAGGTATCAATTCGAGATCCATGAGTTTAGCATCTCAAGGATAACAATTTCTTTGGATTTTTAATATAGCGAAACATCGAAGATAATTGATGAATTATCTATTTGAACTTTAATTGACGGATTTTTGGCATTGTGATTTACACATGTAAATTGTTACATGTGATATTGATACAAAAGTCCGTGACTAGTTTTTTTGGATCTATGACCTTTGGACATTTATATATTACCTGTGAGGCTGTGACATTGATTCAATGACCAGTGATCAATTCTCTTGGATCTGTAACTTGTAGATATTAATCTGTTATCTATGCCAAATAACCCGTTAATTGTGAGCTGTAAAATTTGAACTATGACCTATTATCACTGCATAGAGATGTGACATTTGATTTGTAACTAGTTAATATTGATTTGTGACTTGTCAACATTGACCTGGGACATATACAATATGTAACCTATGAAATGTTACCTGTGAACATAAAGTAGTGATTTATGATCAATTTTAATTGATTTGTGACTTGTGGACATTAATTTTATGACCCATTAACAAATTATAAGTAACCACGACCTCATTAGCACCGGCACCACAAATTGCAAACCACCAACAATCACCTCCACCATTGTAAACTACAAAACCAAGCAAACCACCAAAACAACATACTCGTCGTGTAGGCTTTGCACACAGTGGCGCTATGAGGGCCGTCTCACAACGACGCTTGCTCAAGAGCGTTGTTGCACAGCGATGCTCATCGTTGTGAGCTTGGTGGTGTCTCTAATACCGTCCATGCGTGTGAGAGAGAGGATAGAGAGATGAGCGTCGCTTTGAGGTCGACAGTGGTCTATAGCGGGGAGAAAGAGTCAAAAAATGTCACTATGCACTTGGAGTTGGGGTAAATTAGTGTATGGGTTGGATTATAAATAAACGAAAAACCCAATACTTAACAGAGAGAGAGAGAGAGAGAGAGAGAGAGAGAGAGAGAGAGAGGGGATGGAAACGATTTTTAGGGGTTGGGATAAAATTGGGTTTGGTGGAGTAGTGTGGCGTAGGATTGGGGTTGGTGGATTTTATAATATTATCATTAAAATTAATAGTTGAATTATCACTTGATTTATGGATAAGTAAACCTTATATTTGATTTTAGAACTACAATCTTTAAAAATCGACACTACGTAATTTCCACAACAAATTATGAAACGAACTACGAGGGTTGCAAATGGGTTGAGGACCTGATCATGAAAAATATAAAAATGTATAAGCAAGTCAGCTTCCCATAATTCAAGTGTATTGTTTACACCAATTCAAAAATGGGGTAGATAGTTTGAATTTTCAAAATTCAGCTATATATTTAATTAATTAAAAATATTTATTAAATAAAGATAATAAAGTTACATTTACACGATTAATGGTCTCAAATTCATAATTATAGGTCATAGATTTATTTAATCGATATCATCAAATTAATTAGTCCTAGATTATTTCGAGCTCACAAATCAAAAATTTTGTAGGTAATAGATTATTTCGATGTCACAAATCAAAAATTTTATAAGTCACAGATTATTCTTAGTCACATATTATAAAATTTTAAGGTCACAAACCAAATCGTTGATGTCACAATTTTTATTTTATTTTATTTTTTTGTCACAGATTATCAAATTTTCTCTCCTCGCACATTAGCACAAGCACTCAAAACACTTGAGAAGCTCACTTGATCAGGATTTATTAAATCCTCCCCAATAACATGCCCAAACAGCTCAATTGCCTCGTGATATAGGACAACTAGGTTTGGAGTTTGAAAAAGTGTTGGACATAAAATTAACAAAGAAAAATCGCACCAGGGGCAATTTTGTCATTTGTCGCGACGGTGTCGGAATGGACTGAAATTTGACAGGTTGATTGGAAACGGCCCGAGAAATTGGACTCGGGATAATCCCGAGATCTCAGGATTTTAGCCAAATTCCTTCGTTTAACCCTTTGAATAATTAATTTCCGTATTTCCCGTTTTGAATTTTCGCTATTTTTGGAACATTTTATTTTTTAACGCCTATTTAATGGCTTTTCGAACGTTTTCCATCACTCATTGA